CTCGCATAAATCAAAAACAAGTAGTCGAAGAACATTGCTCCTCTCTTCTTCATTGCAATCGGTCGCAGCAAATAGAGAGATTTTAATTAATTTCAGTGTTCCTCTTCCTGAAGAAGTGGCATTGAAGTTAATTGAATACCTCTTCTATTATGTTAGTTTTTCTTATAATTTCTTTAATTCGGGTATTGCTTGTTTGAAAAGATTTGGTTTGAACATTTTTTAAATCGTTTTTTGCATTTATAGGATTATTCGAAATTTAATAATAATAAATTTCAATTTTTGGTCTTCGTTAAAAATTAGTTCTAAATTTCTTACTTTATGCCTTTACTGATAATTTTTCATCCGCTTAACGTGCGTAAATACTAGACATGCTTATATTTTGTTTTTAAAAAATTATTTTGTAATTATAAGTGAATTTAAGGTCATATATATATATCTGGGTGGCAGTATTTATATATACAGGGTGCACCGTAAATGTTGCGACAAATTTCTAGGGGAGGTAGTGCACATCATAAGAATTGCATAGGAACCCATGCCCGGAAATGTCAGGGGTAAGTGGTAGCCAGAGTCGTAGCTAGGGTTTTCAGCGCCCAGGGACAACTGAAGATTTCGCGCCCCCTACTGCTTGCCAAGAATGGAAAACATTTAATTCTAAAATGTCGTAACATTAGTTTGGCACCCCTTGGATTCTGCGCCCGGGGACAGATGCCCCCTTGCCTCCTCTAGCTACGCCCCTGGTGGTAGCAGAGGTAGAAGGTGGGAAAAGAAAGAAGAGTGATTAATTTGAAACATTTATTGGAGATGAATACAAATGGTGTACGACAGCTTGAATGTTACAGCAGATGCTCGAAGTTTGCACCATCATATACACCGGCAATCAACCTGTCCGGCAACCAATGGTCTGTTGAGACCATTCATTAACGGACATGTTCAACCACACCAGGAGTTTCTTTGATTGTAGCAGCTGCGCAGGCGTGTCTTGCCACGAGATCCGTTTCAGACCCAAGAGGATCGTGATACATGACACTTTTGATGGCTTCCCACAAAAAGAAATCAAAGGCTCGATAAATCCGGTGAGCGTGGGGACCAAGGGACTGCTCCAGCACGCTTAATCCATCGATGCTGGAATGATCTGTTCAAACGGCTACGAGCATCCAGTCCAAAATGAGCAGGGGGCCCCATGATGTTGGAATCACATGTTGTGCCTCACAGTCACATTTGGTGGAATATCGTCAAACAAATAGGAAAGAACCTGCTCCAGAGAGAGATCAAATAATTCACGGCATTCAAATAGTCCGTCAGTGTCAGGCATATCTGGCGTCTGATGATGCATCTGTTGTAACATTCAAGCTGTCGTACACCATTTGTATTCATGTCCAATAAATGTTTCAAATTAATCACTCTTGCTTCTTTTCCCATCTTTACCCTCTGCTACCACTTACCCCTTACATTTCCTGGTATAGCTTCCCATGCAAATCTTAATCCTTATGATATGCCCTACCTCCCTTAGAAGTTTGTTGCAACATTTAGGGTACACCCTGTATATTCCCAATCTGTTATATAGCTCATCGAGCCTGGTAACAATAACAGAGTGGGAATATTATGTTACTTGCTCGAAGTTATTGTTACTCGCTCGAAGAGTTGGATATTTTTTTCTTATATGTTGATAAATTGTTAATTTTTTGCTTTAAAAAATGTTGAATTATGTTGTTCTTATATGTCGGTTAACCCTCTCCGGCACGCTACCTTTTAAAGTCGGAGTAAAAAAAAGGTAGGCAATCTAATTAGGCCTAGAGAAGTACACAAGTAAAATTTTGTGAAGATAGCACTTATCGTTTTAATTCTGTGGGTGTGCCCAAAGTGGCACACTGATTGAATAGAGCTTCGAAAAGAGTGCTGAAACGAGCATTGTTGTCAATAAACTGACCGATGAGATGCGAAGAAACAAAGAATACAGACTCTCAGTTGTCCTATATGATCGGTGAGCCCGGTCTGTGCACACCTAGGTTTCGCCGTTTGATTTTAGGCAAGATTTCAAGGTAAAAATTTAAAACTAATATAGAATAAGGAGATTAGCATACAGCCAAAAAAATAACATAGAAATTTCTTTTCTGAATTATTAAATTTGATTCCACGGACTAACAGAAAGAAAAAGTCAAAGTATTAGAATTCTTTTCTTAATTAAAAAAATAAAGGAAGGACCTTTTGCTTTGATGGTAACCTTCCTTTTATATCCTAAAAAAATGAGGGTCTTAAAAAACTAAACATGGCTAAAATATATGGACTGGTTTGTGTTGAGCTGCCATCTACTATAAATAAAGAAGGTTCAGGTTAACCTATAGTAACCTATAAAACCTTTTTCATTCAATTTTTCTGTGCGTACAGAAGGAAATTTTTAGGTGTGTCCAGACAGGACACACTGTGCCGCAAATGGTTGAGGTTTTCATGCTTCTAGTTATTCGTGCACTAGTTATATATAATTATCAACAACTTAAAAATTTAAGTCGCGTTAGGCCTAACGAGACCATTATTTGTTTACATTTGAAACTCTTAATAGAATAGTGAATTAAATCACTTTGTGCACCAACTTCGATGATATTGTGCTCAGTTGGACGAAGAGTTAACTTTCAGTTTTGTGAACCGAAACTTTGGTTTTTCTACCTTTCATCTGAATTGCTTTTTTTAGCATAGAAACTAATTTTAATTACAAAAAAAGTTTTTAACTGTATTTGGTGTTTTAGTTTTTTCTGTGTTTGCCACTTTTTTATGTAGATATTTTGAGTTTTTATGTATCTTTGCCTTGCCGCGAAGTGAGAACTGAATTTATTGAACGTGAATATGAAATTCGAAGAAATAAGTTTAAATGAAATGCAGCAAAAAAATGTGTATAATTTAATAGGCCGTGCAAGGTAGTCACATATTTTATTTTTCATAAAAAGTGCAAAATTTTCCTAAGTATAAATATATTGATTGGAGCAACGTATGAAAAGTTAGATTTCTTAACTTTGCAGAAGAAGGTTTTTTTCATTTAAAAATGCCAGAACGAAAGTCTGTGTCAAATAAAACAATTTTATAATTGGAAGCATTACCTTAATATTTTTTCACATGAGGAAAAGGGGTGAATATACGGAATATTATAATTGTACTTTATAAGCGCCTCGTTTACCTTAATTCCACTATGCGCCTTGTCAACTTAGAGATTCCACTTGTCAACTTAATGACTACGCAGCTGGAAGCTCCGATATTACGCACAGAGCGGGCATACCAGCCAAAAAGCCACGTTAGGGATGGATTGACTGAGACTTGAAGACTTTTCAACTGAGACCTAAAGCCCACATCTCCGAGTACGTCAGGCTTAAAATTTTTTTCCCTCTAATTAACAGACCCAGCGTCTCAGTGAACAGAAACCACGATGCGGTGGGCTGATTTGCCTGGAGGTTTCACTTGTCGTTAATGATGCTGCCTATCAGTACTACGCGGGCAGTCTGTCCCTCGAGGCTCTACACAGAATACCGAGGACAGCGGGACTGGACGCTCAATGGCCCAGACGCTATTCGGCTACTGATACCCTAGTAACGGGGACCATCAGGTTCGCGAAATGTTAGGATGAACGCTTCTTCACAGGTCGTCGGGAACCACCAGGCTAGTGAAGATTTTACCCCCCCCCCCGTGGCCGAGACTGCGTAGGTATAGATCCTAATCAGTAGCTTCCTCATCGATCCCCGGGGAGTGATACGGAATATAGGGTGATTACAAAATCATGGTACACGCTTGGAAGGTAATTATAGAATAACGATTCGAATAACATTCACATAGGAATTTCGAGTCGCAATCCATTTATTTAGTCATAAATACAATTTAATTTGCATTTACGATAAGAAAACTAAAATGAGACTGAGCTCGTATAACATCTCGTATCTCCATCCGAAGAACAGCATCCACAGAACATTTTATCAAATATTTATATATCAAATTTTTATTTTATCAATAGATTCTAATCTAGTCTAACCTCCATGCTTTAAATGTCCGTAACACTTTTCAATTTGTTGCCACCAAATATTATTGCCCTGTATTATATTTAAAGAAATTATAATGAAGAATGTGCACAAATATATGAATTTTTCTCGCATTGTGATAAAACAACGGTACCTAGATCCTTCAAATTTCGAAAAACGTACGTCTCCACCTGAATATGGGCATCTGGAAGGCCAGATTTGGAATTTGTTTTATAATCTACTTAATATTTTGTTAATCATTTATGAGTTTTTGACTAAGAAACTCAGCGATTTCAAAGCGAGTAGTGGCAGCAATGTACGGTGGAAAAAAAAAATTAACTCTAGCGCGCGAGACCGTGTATCCGAAATTCTAAAGAATTTTGTTATATTGCTGTTGGATTAATTTTTATGGTTTATTGCTAAGAACATGATATTTAATAAACAACGTAACACACAAAACATTAGAAAAACGCCCCTTTGGGCATAATATAAAATCTGAAAGCTTTCAGATTTTTCTTATATTTTCTTTTTAACTTTTTAATTTTACATGTATATTTTCTTCATCCTCTTCTGCGCGAGCCAGAGCTGCCGTCGAAATAATTTACTATGTTTTGTAAAATGTCCCCGAATGCGTATCTTCAACGCATCGTCGAGTGCAACAGTTTCGGTACGAAAGTTCCTGGTCAAACTATTTCTAGAAGAAACTTGGTGTTCAGGAAAATTTCTTTTGTCATTCTAAGTGATAATCCTATTAATAAAGGTTGCTGCCAAGCTATTGTAGTACGTTACTAATAAAAAATTGAGCTCAACATCCTGAAATTTTAAGTGTTAGCGTATATCTTTAAAGAGCATCAGTATAAAAGTTCTTTATAAATTTTAAATTAATGATTTGATTTTGTTGATTTTTGTTCTTTCTGCCAGTTTTCTCACTTAATTTTTTTTAATGTTGACGAATTATGGCCAAAATAATTAAGAGTAGTTACTCAACAACTAAACACTCTCTATCTCGTTGTTCTTGTTTTCCTGTTTCTAATTGAGCGTGGTTTATTTAAATTCTGTTTAATAGAAGTTCTATATTTGGAAGTTAGTTGATTTTTCAAGAATGGCTTATAATCGTAAACCAAATGAAACTATATTAGCACTATATATCGTAGATGCTTTTACAAAACAATCATTTAAGGGAAATAGTGCTGCTGTTTGTTTACTTCCGTATCATCAAGTAAGGCGGTCTTCTATTATTTACCTTTATTGGTCTTAGCTGACAACTAATAAGAAATTATTTTATGTATCATAACATGTTTTTGATAAATTTTAACTTTCAATCATTTTTTTAATGTTTTCTTATAGCTGTTGCAAGTTTTTTTTTATTGAGTTTCAAGAAAATGTTTGGATGCTAACACTAAAATATTTAGTAAAAATACATCTACGGGTGCCCTTTGGCGATAATAGACAATTTTTAATATTACATGGATACCGAGTTTGTGCAATTCTTTGACTTGTTATTTTGGCCTTGTGTAGCGGCTATTTTTGCGGTCAAAGAATTGCAAAAGCTCGCTATTCATGTACACCTATTTGTGTACTTTTGTAGATAAAATGTAATAACTTTTTTTAATTAATTTCTTAAAAATAAAGTTTCGCCACATTATAAAAATATTTAATGTAATTTTTTTATGAATAGATTATACATCTTATTAAAATCTCATTCAGAAAGTTTACTTTTAATTAATGGATAGAGCCCTATTTCAATGAAAATCATACGTGTACGAAAACTTTCGGGAGCCACTGTATAATCTCAATAAACTACATATTAAATTAATAATGAAATAACATAAGAAAGGAAATTCATCTTAGCACTACACAAAGGAAATATCCACTTACCTTATTTACAAATTTCCTTGCCTTCAATCAAACAAAATCTCTTAACAGCATCTAAAACTTCCTAAAATTATTCGAATTAGAATGTGTATACTGGCATCGCCACATAAATTCACAAAAATGAGAGTCAAAAATATCCTCCGTATCGACCGACATTCGACCATATGCATTTCTTTCCTACAAACAGGATACTTATAGTGACTACTAAGTAAACCTTCATTTATGCGCCAGTCAATTAATGTTTTTTTCCTTTTCATTCCAAATCGTTCAGATGTCATATTAGGGTTTCTATAGAACTCAACTACTCGGGTTATCATAAATGAAACAACAACTTAGCAATAATCCATGGGGCACCCTTAAATCTATAACCAAATGTTTTCGAATCCAAAAATAAAAAACTTGCAGAATGCTGCAACATTAAACTACTCTACAACCTAAGGACACTAAATTATGAATATTATGTTGTCGATTTTTTTGGTGCTACTTTGGTAGACACTTGCACGGATTTTGGCGTTTTTTTTTTTTTTTTTTTTTTTTTTTTTTTTTTTTTTTTTTTTTTTTTTTTTTTGCTAGCGATACGATTTATGGTAAACCCATTACTAGACAAGTTATTTAGGTAAAAGTATATTTTAGAGTACCCCTTGGCGAAACTTGATGATTTTTGGCGGTACATGGATACCAATTTTGTGCAATTCTTTGACTCGTTATTTTGGCTTGCGAAGCGGCGATTTTTGGCGCAAAAATCTCTGCTACACAAAGCCAAAATAACAAGACAAACAATGGCACAAACTCTGTATTCATGTACACATTGACTTATTTTTACTTAAAAAGAATCCCCGAATTGCACAAAAATGGCATTGCGCACTCCTTTGACTTTATCCATGTACACATCGACCTATTTTCACTTAGAAAAAAATCCCCGTATTGCACAAAAATGGCATTGCGCACTCCTTTGACTTTATCCATTTACACGTCGACCTATTTTCACTTGAAAAAAAATCCTCGAATTGCACAAACTTGCATTGCGCACTCCCTTTACTTTGTCCATGTACACATTGATGTATTTTCACTTAAAAAGTCAAAGGAACACCAAATTCTTCAATATAGGCAAGCAAAAAATGCATAATCTCAATAAAATACATTTTAAACAAAACAATAAAATAATATAAAGAAAGGAAAAACATGTTATACATTTAAGCACTACCAAAAGCAAATATTCACTTACCATGATTTTCGAGTTCACTTCGTACCCCGAAAGCCACGTAAAAATCAAAATATCAATCATACTCAAATGACTTTTTTCAAACCAGGTACTCTTTCTGATCGAACACTTCACATAGTGACCATCTGAACCTTTCTTCCTATAAACCCATTCAAATCCATCTAAACGGTTTTTACGTTCGACTAAACACATATCCTTCCTACATACAGGACACTTATAATGGCTACTAAGTAAATCTTCATTTACACACCAGTCAATTAAAGCTCTTTTCCCCTTTCGCTCTAAATCGTACAGAAACTTCAAATTAATCTCACTACATTCGGCCATTCTACCATCTAAAGAATCAAACCAACACACACCATATGTTGTGTAATTTTAAGAAAAAGGCTAGAGGGCGCTGTTGCTCGCTTAGTTGTAAGAGAATAAAGTTTGTTCATGTTGATGGCGGCGGCCTAAGAATACGCTCTGTATATAGTAATTAAAATATTGTTTAAAATGTAAAAGTGTTAAAATTAGTAAACCCACTGAACCACCATTATCTGACTTGGAGATGCACAAAATTATTAGATGGTGCATCGGCGTAAGGAATTAAGGCTTTGTGAAGATTTTAGGTGTTCGATCCAAGTGTTTCGATTTCAATGGATATTTCATATTCAAGTGACAATGGAATTCCAAATAAAGGTAGGGAAATCTTAAATTAATTATTTAGTGATTATTTGTAGTACATTAGTAAGTGTTTATTATTGCTGTCGTGGGTGTATTTAAATTAAATAAAATGGAAGAGAAGTTAGATAGATTGAAACGTAAACGTTCCACATTGAGATCGTCTGTTACTAGGTTAATTAAAGTGATTGAAGATAAATTAAAAATTGAAGGGGAGGAAAATTCGATTAAAGAATTACGGGAATTGTTTGAATTATTAACCGAAAAGAAAAATAATTTGAGAACGCTTGATGATGAAATACAAGAGTTAATTGATGTTAACTTAATTGAAGAAGATTGTAGTATAAGCGAAGAATACAATGACAAATGTATAATTGCTTGTAGTCAAATTAAGCAGTTTCTAGGTGCGATTACCGCAGTACCTCCAGCGAGGAATCCCCAAAGTTCTGATTTAAACCAGTCTAGTGGTAATTTAATTTTGCATGTAAGTTCCAGTTCTAGTGGGAGTAATACGCTGAAATTACCAAAATTAATGATCGATAAATTTTGGGGAGACCCCAAACAATGGAATGAATTTTGGAATAGTTTCGAAAATTCGATACATAAAAACGTTCTTAACGGGACAAGCTTCGAATGTTGTGTCAGGCTTTGAGTTAACAGAAAGTAATTATGATAGTTGTGTAGCATTACTAAAGGACAGATATGGTCGAAAAGACCTGATCATTAATTCATTCATGAATAAAATTCTCAATTTAGAAGCTGTTAAAAATTCTGCTAACGTAAAGGCTTTACGTAAATTATATGACGAATTAGAAGTTTCGATTCGTAATTTGGAAACTTTAGAAGTAACTTCTGGTTCATATGGACATTTATTAATTCCAATATTATTAAAATTAATTCCGGACGATTTAGTTTTGGAATTTAATCGGCAAAGAGGATCGAAAGATAAAGTTGAAGTTTCGGAATTAACACAATTTATTAAAACGGAAATAGAATGCAGGGAAGTTTCAAATCTAGTATTAAATGCGAAAGGAAAAAAATCCTGTGCCTCCTCCGCGAGTCGATCAATCAAAATATGAAACTAGAAAATATGTAAAAAATACACCCACGGCTGCATTTCATACTGCAGTTAACCGAAAATGCATCTTTTGTGATAATTTGCACAAGTCATTTAAATGCGAAGTGAATGTTTCTGATAAATTAAAGAAACTAAGATCCGAAAACCGCTGCTTTTCTTGTTTTAAAAAAAATTCCATAGATCATACATCAGAAAGGTGCAGAAATAAAACTAAATGTAATAAATGTGGCGGTAATGTATCACAATGAATCGATTTGTACTAATAAATCCCTTGTAAACAAAAAGTTGGAACAAGGTTATTCCAAAAATGAAACTGAATCTCTGACTTTGAATTCTGAGGAAAGAAATAAAGTTCAAAACTTAAAATTGATTGCTTCTGTTCCTCAAGGTGATAATAATAATGACTGTAATGCCAGGGAAATATTATTACAAACCTGTACAGTTTATGCTTGTTCTAAGTATAAATCAAAATTAACTAGATTAATTCTTGATCAAGGCAGTCACAGATCCTTTATAACGAAAAAATTGGCCGACCATTTAAAACTTACTCCAATCCGTTATGAAAGACTTTCTGTTTATTCATTTGGTGCGACGAAGGCAATGAATCATTCCTATCCGGTCGTTGAAATCGAAATTCAGAATTGGAAACAAAATAATAAAATAAAAATTGAATGTTTGATCTCGGGTGTTATTTCCTCAGCGTCCATCAGTGTACCTAGTAAACAAATTGCAGACTTCATGGAGCATATGGGGTTGCAGATCGCCGATTGCTCAAGAAAAAATAACATAGATGTTGAGATATTAATTGGAGGGGATGAATTCTGGAATGTAGTTTATTCTGAAAGAATTAAAATATCTGAAGGGTTGTACGCAGTCAGTTCTGTGTTTGGTTGGGTTGCCGCAGGAATCGAGAAAAATAAAACAAACAAAAATTGTTCTGAAAATTTAGCGGTAATGACAAACACTGTTGTGTTGAAAGATTTAAAAGGTTTTTGGGAATTAGAACATATGGGAAATAATGATTCTGATGATTATTCCGATATTGACTACGAAATAGTAGACCAGTTTGAAAGAAATTTGCAGTTTAAAAACGGAAGATATGAGGCAAATTTAATCTGGAAATACAGTCCGAATAATTTAGGAAATAATTTTGAGGTAGCTAAGAAACGATTCGCAAACCTTCGCAATAAACTAAGTAAAACTCCGGAGATTTTTCAGGAATATAAAAATATAATTGAGAACCAGATATTAGAAGGAATTGTGGAGGAATGTCCAAATAATGATACAAATTTGGGATATTTTATGCCCCACCGAGCAGTGATACGACCTAGTGAAACTACTAAGGTAAGAATTGTGTACGATGCTAGCTCAAGGACAGAGG